TATTATCTAATTTCTAAAAATTACATGGACACACTACACTGCTCATCTACAGCAATTCTTTCTAAAATAAAAGTGTTGTGAAGAATATTTGGGGTTTGTTGACCATTATTCTAAACAGTTTGTCACAATAGCTTTAACAGTTCATATTTTTCATGTACTGTATCACACATACTTTTAGAAATGTCAGGGCTTATTTTAGCAACTTTAATTGTAATATTCAAAATTATGTCACTTAGTGATTATTAAAAACCTATAAAAGTAACCATCTATTTCACATTATTTCACAGAATTATTTTCTCAAATAATAAACTCACCCTCAGTTAATCTCGAAAATCTTGCAATGTACTCTAGAAATAGTACCACACTATTTTTTTAAATTAAATTTGAAGAGACTGGTTATCCATCACCAGTCTCTTAAAGAATCAGAAGCAATAAGAAAATAAAATCAGTATATCCCTTATTCTTAAATTTAAAAAAAAATCCCTCTGTTTGAGAGAAGTAACAATTTAAAAACCAATGGAAATTCCATTGGAAATGATGATAATATTTTCAACAACCATAGTTTTGGTAAAAGCCATTAACAGTTTAACATCAAGCTAGCAGACACCTTTTCCTGGTATATTGTGCATAAAAAGTATTCCCATCTGTTTCAATGCTTTGGCTTTTTCATGGGCTTGAACCTGTCAAATTATTCCATTTGATTTCAGAGAATTCTCATATGGCAATCTATTTTATTTACTTTACCTTCAATAAAATGCTTGAGTGAGCATTAGCAACTATGAGACACAAGTTTCAATCAGTCCTCTGGCAAAGGCGTCAATCTACATTAGACCTACTGTGCTGTGAGCTGCAGCCAGAAAGCTGGAGTAAGACAGGGCAACAGTGAATGAGTGAGCGAGACCTAATAAAGCAGCAGTGAAGAGAGAGAAAATTCTCCCTAGACACTACCATACACTGCTTATATAATGCGTGTGCCTAGTTCAACACACCAGTAGCTCCTTAATAAAGCTGACAGCTAAAAAGGAGCTTCAGACTCCAACTTTGTTTTACATGACAACTACAGTAATGGTCCTCTGTTCTCAAGCAGGCCACATTTAGAAACCTGTATTCAGTTCAGTTAAAAATTAAGAGTTCTCACCTCTCATTCATGTCACATAGAAAAAAGAATCATAAAATTATTAAGATGCACACCATGTCTCCTCATTTCATACAATTACTTGAAAAAACATCAACCAGCTTTTCAACTAGCTAGATTTCAACTAGCTTTTCCTTAAAAATTTCTATGCTAGAAAGCACAAAACAATCTATGTATTTGAGCAATAACTCATTTCTGAAGACAGTACCATTAAGGACTAATTCCAAGAAATGTGGGGCATCACTCCTAGATGTCATGAAAATATCTCCCAAAGCACAAACTTTGTAATAAGTGACGCAAGTTCCTATTTGATATGGACTGTAAAAAGCAGATTATTGTAATAGCACTCTTCCCAGCAAATCAAACCATTAAGACTGTACTTAATGTTCAGCTGAATTGAAAAGCTGGCCAGTTTAAATCCATAGTTTGATACTTTGTATAATCATAGCAAAAATTTACTACCTCATAGTTCCAGGCCACAAATTCGATTCTATCAATGTAAACTACTTTTTTACAAAAGTTGCCTTCAGGTTCCCTCAAATCAGTAATTTACAGCTATTCACAATCACCCTGGAAAGATAATTAATTCCAAATTCTACAATAAACAGTGTCTCTGTTCTAATACAATTCCATTAAAATGTAAAGTACTGTTTATGTTTCAGACTCTTCCTGGTGGAAACCAGATTGAAGACAAAGCCCATCAATCCCCATCCAATTACTTCTTGGAAAGCAGATACCATCTTTTCCTTTCAGCATTACGCTGTTTATCCTCCTCCCCTTCACCTATGGCAGTATCAAAACTTACTTGCCTTCTGACCAGACATGTGGAAGGGTTAGCCACCTTCATGGACAGAGTTAATGCCAAACCATTATCCAGCTGATGGAATGACTTACACATCAAATGTTTCACATGTCAGTCATAAACATGATCACCAGAAATGAGCCCTTACATAACTCTTGAGAGAGTTCCAGTTCAGCTGCAAGATTAACTATATGAGATGTACTTCTGTGCTAATCTAACAATATTATTATGTTTGCCCTGTGCAAAATAAACATATAGAGACTGAATATTTGGTAGGTATACAAAATGTACACATATACAATACATGTACATGAGTCATGCTGTTTAAAGTCCTGTAGTACCAAGAAGAAACACGAATGAGCACAATGTCTCCTCTTCCACAAATTGCCAATACAGGACAGAAGAGCTAGATCAATTTAACAATAATTAATGCCACAACTACAATTCAGTTCACTAACACAGAAAATATTCATATTTAGAAAACTTCCTTAGCTTTTTTTCCAAAGCCTAACTAACTCAGGAAATCCAGATGTAACTGTGCCACTAACAGTCCCCAAAAGTGTTCAATTAAGCCATCAGTCCAAAAATGGAACATTTTTTCTCTGCTTTCACATTTTTCCAATACGGATTTTTGTCCTGGTTTCAGTTTTTCCAACTCTAACTCAGTTTTCTAAAACTAACTCCTAAACAGTTAAGTGATCTATTGAAAGACAGTATAGAAAGCAAACAGAATTTTTCTCTCTGTTAATTAAAAATGTACTCATGAATGCAATTTTATTTTTATGTATTTCTATCACTACTTTTATGACTGAATCCCAGTTTTCAATCAGTGCAAAGACACCGTGTTCTGCCATAAAAAACTATCAACTCTAAATGACATACTGAAGAACTACCATTCAGAATTTACTACTATTTCCTCATGGACTACAAAAACATTCCCTCTCCACTTTCATATACTGCAAGAAATAGAGACCAGTGCTAAAAAGGCCAAAAAGATTTTGGCTTTCTTTACAGAAAGCATTTTTATAGATTGCATTTAACTTAAAGTTATGGAACAAAATAATGGAGGAAACAGAGTAACAGTTACTTTCCTCCATATGCCTTAAGTTCCAGACATACTGGAATTCAATAAAATGATACTGCCAAACTATTATGGATGCACAAGTCAGTACTACTGCATTTCTGACATTATTTGGTACAGAGCATAGTAAATTTCCAGAAAAAAAAAAATCCTTCAAAAAATAAAACCTCTTGTTGGCTCAGGGGATTTCAATTACTATACAATTACTACACAGTTTCTATCAAACCCAACAGTTCTCCAAGATACTGACACTGTCTATGAAGAAACTATCTAGTATTACTATGGACAAGTTACACCGTTCAGACATATGTGTATAAATATGTGCTAGAAATCCAGTCATATTTCCATTGCTACCTAGAAAGCAAAGAACCTCACCTTTTTTACTGTTTTATCCATTGAGTGATGTAAGAAAAAAGTGTTTTGCAAATGTATTACTACATATTTACATACAGCCATACACAAATTTATATGTGATGCCAGTAATGCCTACAGTTTCCCTGTATAGTGCTGTATATCCTTTGATTTACAACATTGCTAAAGCTAATATTGTACCTTTTCTTCTTTTTATGATTTCACCATATTCATATTGTACCCTTCAGGCCAGTGCCTTAAGTCCTTGGAAAAAGGTGAAGTTAAATCGAAGGAATTTTCCTTTCTTATTACCCAGTGGGTAAAGACAGTCACAGTGAAACACATACCAGGACGGTCTTGTTTTGCACTGCTTTGAATTAGGTTAAAAAGGTCTGTGCTTCCTCCCAGAGGGTGAAACTTTAGAAAACTTGTTATAAACATAGCTTCAGCACTAATTACTCGCACCATCATTAACTCCTCTGGAACTACTTCTTTTTCTTGCCCTTCTGAGCCATCAAGTCAAAAAGATGGATGTATCAATTTATGGAGTATATAGGTATATTTTAATATTTCATAATAACTTAGCAGTTACTGCACATGGCATAGAGGGAAACAATACATATTTACTTTGGAAACAATGCTGTACATAGAAGCAAGTGGGCCTGGTTCCTACTATGGTGAGTTAGTTTGTTGTACCCTGTTGAAATCTGCATCTATAAGATTTAGCATCAGGCACCAGTTGAGCATATTTTGCAATTTATATATTAAAATATTGCCTAAAATTTTGAATCTGAAAAATTCTGGAAATATTATCAATAAATTTTCTACCCCTGTAGGGCAAGCAAAATATGAAGCACTACTCAACATACAGATTAATTCTTTATTGCAATAGCAAGTATGAAAAATCTGAAATAGATCCAAGTGGCTTGCTAAGCTCTCATCTTACACTAATTCCTTCAGAATGTCATTTTCCAGACCTCTCCAAGGTAAAAAAACTGATATGCAGTTGTACATGATTCACTCAAGATAGCTGTGAAGGTCTGGAGCAAAGCAAGGTATTCAGTGCAGACACGCCAAGTCCCAGGGTGGTACTATACTCACTAACAGTGTTTCTGCACAGGCAGGTTCAGACTGTTAGCACACAAAGCAGTTCAAACAAGATTTGAACTCATGGTCCTTGACATCATGGAGTATTCCTGGTTACCAATGGAACAGAGATCATTCCAGCTTCAGGAAATAAGGAATATCCAAACTCAGGGGTACATTACTATTTAAACTTGCCTTTTAAAATTTTAATTTATTACAAAAAATATTTATACAAATACAGTCTAAAAAAATTTTCTAACCAAATTAGCTTAATTATCATACTCCCAATGCAACTGATGTAATGAAACTATACAGTGAAACTTAACTCCAGGGTTCCAGAGACCTTGGTGAGAGAACCATGTTTTCGCTTATTAGGGAAAGCCTACATGACTTAAATATTCTCTGCTATCTGGTCATAATACAAGCAGTTGTACATCTCAGTGAATCAGAGGAAGCAGAGATCAGCTATTTGACTATGGACTAGTAAGCAAGAAGAGCAATTCCAGAACAAAAGAAAGTTGCAAAAAATAGTACGCAGTACTCACCTGCTTCTTCTAAGCCTCAAAAAGACCTTTTAACTTCAACCTTGAACCGAAGTGATGTCCACGATCAATTCCAGTATCACCATCCTGACAAGACAAAGAGAAATGTTTACTGCTATTTAGACGACATTTAACAAAAACAAAATAAGAATTTGGCTCTATCAGACCCTCTAATTAGTTCCAGATGTGCGTAAGTTGATTCTAAGTATTCTGAAAGAAAAAGGAAGGCGTTGTAATTTTTCATTTTTCTATTTTGACATAAACATTTTGGTTGAAAGACCGAGCAAGTTGAAAGAGAAAGATTCTCTTAACAAGTAGTCAGCTTAAATGTAGTCCACAAAGAAATAGAATTGTTCATCAAGTTTCTGCCTTGCAGTAGAGGGACAGATAAGGCATCACTCAAAGTCTAGTCTTGTTTTTTTTAATTCTGTTTTTATTATTAAAATACCTAAAGGCAAACAAGAGGGAGGCTTCCCTGAAGTAGTTTGTTCCAGACAGAGAACTGCACATAGTATCACTACCAGTAAGTTCATCTGGGAATGACCAGATGACCAATAAGGGTCATCGGAAGGAAGGAACAGAAGCTGGGAGACAGCATGCCAATGAAATTTAAAGCTATATGCATTTTAGGAAGGACAAAAGGACAAGTAAAAAGAAAAAAACAGCTTTGAAGCTGAGACTGCAGGACTGCATTGAAGGGAAAAGGTTGGACAAGGCAGACAAAATAAAGACCATGCAGGTCCACAGAAAGTATATTTAGATTACATCTATGCCCGAGCACATTTCTCTTTGCTGAAATCAACTGGCACAGATAATCCTACATCTATGCTAGTATATACTCACATACGCTCCGAAACAGAGGGGCTGCATGCAAACTGCCTAACAGAGGTGGTCGAATAAAAGTCTGGGAATTTTCTGGAACAATGTTAGTTTGCAAAGACCAAATCTGTGTCAGAGACCTGGAAATATTTCCAAGCATTGTTTAATTTACTAATATAGACATAGCCTTAATGCCTGAAACTCTGCGACTTCTGAAGTTGATCCTACCAGCCTCTCAATGGTGCCTCTTGGCAATTCTCCCTTGCTGACAAGGTCAGACGGAAGCAGACTGAAGAGTAAAATGAATGTAGAGTTTTATGAAGAAAAGACTGCTTTCCTACAGTTTAAAAAAAAATCTGTGTTCCAACTGGCATTATTAATACACACTTTGTTACAAGATGCTTGGACATTTAAAAGAGCTGCAGTTCTAACTTCTTCCTTTGTTTGTAGAGTGTAACAAAACCTGCTGGGAAGGTCGAAGTTCCTAGAAAACTGAAAGCTACCTGGCAGCCTCTGTAGTAGAGCAAGTGAAGAAGGAAGAGCAAAGAATGACAGGCTGGAGGAATAAACACTACGTGAAACCCCTGCACAGTAGGACAGCACTGGGAAATGAGAAGGAAATCTTATGAGCTCTTAATACAAAGAGCAAAAAGAAGAAAATGTTAAAAACAGGTAAGGATCCTAAGGCAAATATGAGGAGGTGAAGGTGGGTGGCAATTCTTAAAAGTTGTTGGAAAGTAAAATATGTGTCAATGAAACTTTGCTTGATGGTCATGTGGTCACCCTGGATCCAGAATGGAAACGTCCAATCAGTTGAGAGAGAAGCATTCACCTTGCTCTCCTATTCCCCATTAAAAGATTGCAGGTGTAGCTATGCCTCTAAATCTTTTGACATTTCTTGTGCACCTGAAGTTTAGACCGAAATACACCGTATGGTTATTTCTTCAACAATAAGTGTTGTTTGTTGACAGAGGTTAATATGTAAGCCTCAAACATCAATATTCTGCATTTCTCTTTCTTCCTATATTCCTTTATGCCAAAAAATGTTCAAACAACCAGTTTTCTTGATATAATTTTTGATTATAACATTTTATCGTAATCATTCTTAATATGAAAACAACCACACTTATTAGTCTTTATTATTAAAATTTTATCTTTGGTCTTTTTGAATTATCAGGATTTCTACAATTTTTCAGAAGTCAGTAAGGAATATTTAAAGTGGACAGGATCACACACAGTAGATATAACAGATATGTCACAGACAGATGGCAGGCCTTACTTATCAACTTTCTTTTTACTGGTACAAATCTTCACCTTCAGAAACTTGTTGTTTCATTTATGCTACATTCCAGTGGTTTACCTGAGGAAGGCAGCTGCCTCTTAAAAATAATATTACTTTTGTTATAAACATGGATTTGTTTTGATTTTTGTTTGCATCCTAAAACCTGGACCTGAATCATTCCAGTTATTCCAGTTTAACAGCAACATTTCTCTACCCTTCCTCCAAATGAGCCTGCACATTCCATCCCTTGGACCGTACCAGGTAGATCTTTAATGTCATTGTTTACCTATCCCATATTGGCAGTGCTTACAGAGATATTTTTTTCTATTCTTCAATATCTAACATTTCCATCTGAATTCCATCTGAACCTTAAAAGTTTACAATCGAATTCACAGAACTTGCCAACCAACACCTTAAAAGCATCCTGACAGAATTTCTTTTTTAAATACAGCTGCAGTGGATGAAAGTTCAAGCAATTCTGGCAGCTCAATGTAGTATAGTTTACTCCGGCAGGAACACTCTCATCATGTGAACAGCAGAATACAATTGAATTGAAAGTCACCTGCATGCCACTTGTCTTTAACTTCCTATTCAGGTCCCTAAAATTTGAGTTAAACAAGCAAATACCACAAACTTCTGTAATACCTGAGAAAGGAAAAGTGCACTCGTCAATGACTAAATTAATTTGGTATGTAGACGCTTGTTAAAATGTAGATTTAGAGGAATTCTAATGAATTTTTTCTCCAAATGATAAAACATGTAACAATTATGATCACCCACCTAGCACAGAAGGTAGATAGGTGATAGATCAATTTTCAACACTGACGAGGTTATGCGGTTGGTACCAGTTTGTCATACAATATGCTGCACTAGACTTTTTACATAATAAAGCATTATTCACTATGAGCACAACTAACAGAATTTGGCTCTTATTTATGTGAATTGTCACAGTTGTTTCAGAAATCACTAGAATATAAAAATAATTTAATTCAAAACGAAAGCCAAATTCATTCCTAGATGAAGACATTCCTTTGAAACTTGACTTAAATAAACAAATACAATGCCCACATGCTGCAAGCCATTCCCTTTAACTCATTCATTTGTTTGTTTCATTCATCTCTTAGCTCATTTTACGTTTTGATCACAAATCATTAGGATAAGTTTACCTATTATATGTTTGAACACTGCCTCCATGACAACATTTGATTTGACACGACATGCTCTTATTCATTATCCTGCCTTGTTGGTGGCCTTTGGTACTTTTTAAGACATAAATAACCCCACCAAAGTGCACTACAACTCTTAAGCAGTATTACTATTTGATAGATCAACAGCCACTCTGATGTGTCTCTATTTCACATAAGACCTACTTGTTCACTTCTTTGCTATAGTAAAAATGGTTCAAACTGCATTACTCCTTGAAGTGGGCATTTGTGTAAAATATTCCAATGAAGCACTGCTCACCGAAGCATTCAGGAATATTTTAGAACATGGTTGAGGGCCATGTATATAAGGCATCTTTAGATATACTTATTTTGAAACAGATAGATTGGGCCAAAGACACAACTGGTTTTAGTAAAGCAAGAATTACTTGCTAGAGAGACTGGCTATTATTTTAAAGGCATATACATTCACTGGTATCCATAGCTTCCACTTTTCCGTCATATAGCCCTCCCATGCAATTGAAAACAAAAGAAGTCTTAATTCATAACAGAACTTCTGAGCAAGTCTTAAATTGCACTATGTCAATGGGACATCCCGAATTTTATTTGAAAGTACATCATTTACACACAATCTATAATGTATATTTTCTAAAAGTATGAAATAAAAATGTTTGAAATTACTTAATAATCAGACTACATATTTTTAGTTATATTTAGACTACTTCAAGACATTAATTTACACTACAAAAAAAAATGCATTTTTAAAGATTATGTAAATTACAGAACTGCAAATGGAAAAAACCCACTCCTTTTCTTCCTGAATCCAAGTATTGAGTTAGACAATTTCTGCAACAGAAATACTCAGAAGCTCATAACCAGATGAGCACTACTGAATGCCATTATAATTAACAAGAACATGCAAAATAAATTAGTAGTTATGTTTTATAATCATTCCAAAGTTAAATGAGCCTATGAAAAGACCTTCATACTACTGTGATCTCATTAGCCAATTTTTACAAGCTACTCTACATTACTACTTAGACGAATGAAGGCTGCCTTTTGTTACGTTATTAGTGGGTCCAAACAGAAGTACTGTGGTGGTGGGAGACGCAACCATTTTTTTACGTGGCACACAGAAAATAATGAAATCCTGAATGCTTCTTGAGCTGTCAACCTTCCCCAACTATATCTTTTCCAAAATTTTTAACAAATGCTATGTATTTATAAAATTTCACATCATGTTCTATACCACTAAAATTAATCTTGAATTTTCACAACATGGAATTTGCTAATCAAAATATCTATACTCAATTCATCACGACAACGTGCAACTATGCAAAGAAATAGGTCAAGGAAAATAATAAAATTTACAGAAAAGCATTAAAAATGTAGTATTTAATGCCTTGGAAATTGCCCAGTGAAAGAAAAAAAATTATGACAGGGACTAAATATATCATCTACTTCCGATTATGTCCAATTCACTGTGTAACTGATATAACAGGTAACACGTGAACTCCTCTTGGGGGAGGGGGGGTGGTTGGGGAGGGAGGGTGTTCCATTTAGGTCTTACTTATCCTAAAGATTAATAGGACACTGCCTACCTGTACTTATAAAGGCACACTGGAGAAAATGGAGACAGTACAAATAAACGGGAAGCCTGGAGCAAAGGAAAAATCACCCCTCCTCAGTCTTCTCTTCCAAAACCTCCACAGCAGCATTGTCTGAATAGTTTGGTATACAGACTAAACCACCCCTGAGGCAGGTCTAACTTGCTTGACTTGCACTTACATGATAGATAACCCGTGTTGACACTAATCTTATAA